GGTTCTGAATGTCAAAGAGTATTTTATATTTGATTCTGGAGGTAATTGGGAACCATTAGAGTTTGTGGTGGAAGTGAATGTTGGGGGAGTTATATGACATGGTTGGACCTGTGCTTTATGAAAACTTCTTTGTTAACTCAGTGGAGGTTGGATTGAAGTAGGGAGAGACATAAGTCAGGGAGACCAACCGGCAGACCATTGAAGTAGTCCAGTTACAAATCAGTGAGGGCCTGCATCATTGCCAGGGTAGGGGCTGTGTGAGTGGAGAGAAGGGATTGTGTAGTAGAGATGTTGTGAAGGTAGAATTGACAAGATGATAACAGTTGAGTTATGTGGGTTGAGTGTGAATGAACAGCATAGGATGACACTAGGGTTGTGAATCTGGGTGACTTGGAGATTGGCTGTGCCTTTGACAGTAACAGGAAAATTGTGAATAGGGGATTTTGGAGGAGGGAGGAATGATGAGTTCTGGCCTGGATATGTTGTGTTTGAGGTAACAGAAAATACCTTTCTTCCCCACCAGTCACTATTCTAGAATCCTTGCAAAGTTAAAGAACAAACAAATTGATTAACACGTATCAGAGAGAAGCTTTTACTGTACAAAAGGGAGAAACTGAACAACCATATTTAATATGTTGCTGTCCCCACTCTCCACAGATTTCTCTGGGGACTTCTGTCAATTTTAAAGAATATCCTTGGGCAGCTAGGTGGCGCAGTAGATAGAGCTGTGGCCTTGGAGTCAGGAGGACCTGAGGTCAAATTCAACCTCAGATACATGATACTTACTAGCTGTGTGACCCTGGGCAGGTCACTTAACCCTGACTGCCTCACCAAAAGGCAAAAAAAAAAAAAAAAAAAAAAAGGACATCCTTACCTGAATCTTATTTGATATTTAAATGGGGTGTGGTGTGTGTGTGTGCGTGCATATGTGTGTGCACACATGCTTGCACGTAAGTACCTGTAAAAATGTTTTGATTCTGTTTTGGTTTTCCCTTCTAAAAGCAGGTATGACTGAGTGGCTTCATGGAAGCAGATTTTTCTTGCACTATAGGAAAAGTTCAGCTCCTTAGAACTTACAAGTCATTGCATAAAGGAATTTTTATGTTTATTTGTAGTTATTAAAGTGAAATATTTTTTAAAAAATTATTGTGTGAAGCAATGCTAATTAATATTTTAAGTCCATTTCTAGGGAATATAAAAATACCAAATAACCTAAATTCAAGGATCATTTCTTAGGCATATGTGACAGCATTTGGTAACCAGAATAGCTAATTGTCATGTATGTCATATATAGTTCACCATTTTATAAAGAATTAGAACACAGAAATATATTTAATGCAAAACTATGCCACTCATAATTTGAAAGTATTGAATATCAAAAACTGAGTCACGCAGCATGATTATGAGATTTCAGATGATCAGTTTATCCTGGAAAGCAGATGATATTCTCTGGAGTGGAAACCAAACAGAACTGTTGGGGACATGCATTTAATCATCATACCCTTACCTAAAGACTTCCCAGCTTAATAGAATTTGTCAGAACTTATGCTCTGAATACATTGTTGCTCATCTTTTTTTTCTAAGAGGACCAATGACATCATGATGTTGGAGAATGGATGATGTCTTGACTTGTGCATGAATTGGATTTAAGTGAGGCAGTTACAGAGTTGTCAGCCTTACTGTCTTCCAGAATCATCGAAGTCTAGTGGCAAGACAAGAGTCAAGATGACTAGTTATGGGCTGGGATGCAGCAGTTGACCTTGGTGTCTTTGATGTCTGACCAAGCTCTAAGTGCTTTATAGCACCTGCTTCAGCTGCCTTCATGGCCATTGGAACAAATTGTCCCCACATACCTATTCCAACAGGGGAAGTCTTCACATGCTTGGAGTAGATATCCCTCTAACTCACCAAAGGGTTTAAGGCTTGTCAGTTACCCTCAACCTGGGTTAGCCCATCTGCTGAGACAGTTTTACTGGGGTGTGGCTGCTGCTTCTGGAGCCACCAGTGAGATATACATACTAAATATATATTCTTTCATGACCACAGAGCTGCATATACATGAAATATGACAGTGGTTGTTGTCCTTCATTCTTGAAGAGGACCAAAATGACATCACTGTGTTAGGAGTCAAGTTACAGAGTATCTAACTGTAGCTGATCAGACCAATATGAGCTCAGAAAGCTGTACCACAGGTTAGGCACAAATAGTCCATTCTCTAAATTTGCACATCTTCCATTTCTTTTGAGCTACTTCAGTTCTGCTTTGCTCATAGAGCACAGCACCTTCTCTAATGAGGTCACACCGTGCTGGATGGTCCTGTGCCAGTGTCTCCCATGTCACACAATCAATTCCAAAGTTCTTAAGAGAGACCTTGAGAGTGTCCTGGTGTTGCTTTGCCCTGTGTGAGTTCTCCATAAGAATCTTTTTGACAAACATATGTTTGACATTCAAACAACTTGGCCAGCCCATCAGAGTTGTGCCCTTTGCAGTAAGTTTGAATGCTTGGCAGTTTAGTTCGAGAAAGGGTCTCAGTGTCTGGTATCTTATCCTGCCAGGTGATCTTCAGAATCTTCCTAAGACAATTCAAATGGAAGTGATTCAGTTTCCTGGCATGGTGTTGGTGTACTGTGTCCAGGTTTCACAGGCATACAGCAATGAGGTCAGCACAGTGCCTCTGTAGACCTTCAGTCTGGTAATCAGTCCAATAACTCTTGTCTTCCACACTTTCCTTCAGAGCCTCCCAAACACTGAGCTAGCTCTGGCAATGCATGTGTCAACCTCATTATCAATGTATACATCCCTGGGAAGTATACTGCCAAGGTAAGTGAACTTATCCACAGTATTCAAAACTCCATTTGCTGTAACCAATGGTTCCACATATGAATGGTATGGTGCTGGCTGATGGAGTACCTGTATTTTCTTGGCATTAATTGTTAGGCCAAAATTAGCACAAGCAGCAGAGAATGGATCCATACTTTGTTACATCTCAGCTTCAGAGGCTGCACTGAGTGCACAATCATCTGCAAATAGAAAATCATGCACCTAACACACCCTCTACTTTGATCTTGGCTTGTAGCCTTTTCAAGTTGAAGAATTTGCCATCAGTGCAGTAGCTGACCTTGTAGCTGACTTTGATACATGTTCTTCCTCATTGAAGACATTTGACAACATGGATAAAAACATCATGCTAAAAAGCATGGGAGCAAGCACACAGCCTTGTTTCACTCCATTGGTGACTGGGAAAGGGTGAGAGCATCATCCACTCTCCATAACCCAGGCATGCAAGCTGTCTTGAAATTAATGTACAATATTGATGAACTTTTTAGGTAACCAAATTTTGACATAATTTTCCATAAGTCCTAGAGACTGACAGTATCAAAGGTCTTGGTCAGATTTACAAATGTTGTGTACAGATCTCTGTTCTGCTTCTGGCATTTCTCCTGGAATCAGGCAGCAAGCACCATTTTGAATGTTCTTTGGCCCTTTCTGAAGCCATAGTGGCTCTCAGGTAGATGACTGTCTTCCAGGTGAAGGATCAGTCTATCAAGGAGGACTCTGGGAAGAATCTTGCCAGCAGTGACTAAGAGAGAGACCCCCCCGTGATTGTCACAGGACAATCTATTTCCCATACCTTTATGGAGATAGACAATGGAGGTGTCCTTGAACTCCTGGGGGATAACCTTCTCTTGACATATAACCCCAAAAGTTTCAATCAGCTTTTGTATGAGCAGTGGACCCTTCCCTCACCTTGTAAATCTCAGCTGGAATAGAATCAACACCACGTGCTTTGCCACGTGAAAGGAGCCTAATGGCATTCAAAACCTCTTCTTCAGTTGGAACTTCAACTAGAAAGGGATTGACTTCAACCTAAGGTAAATGATCAATGGCTTCAGCATTGATTGATGATGGTCTGTTGAGAACACTATAGAAGTGTTCAGCCCATCTCTCTAGGATCATGTCCTTATCACTAAACAATGTGGCTCTATCAGCACTGAGTAGTTATGATACACCATAGGTCTTTGGCCCATAAATAGCCTTCAGGACGTCATAAAAATGCTTTGGATTGTTGCTATTAGCATAAAGCTGAAGTTCATCTACCTTCTTACTGAGCCAAGAATCCTGCATCTGTCTAACTTCACTCATACTTTACCTTTGATGGAATTAAATGCTGCCTTTTTAGAGATGGATGAACTATCCAACTGGTAAACCCTGTGGAGTTCTCATTTTTCATTTAGCAACTTTGGAATTTCACCCTCATTTTTGTCAAACCACTCTTGATGTTTGTGAGTGTTCTGACCCAGATGAGCAAATGCAGTGCTGTACACCCAGTCTCTGAAACCTGCCCACTCCTTTTCTGCTGCACTATTGCCAACTGTGTGTTGGCTTCACTTTCCCTCCAAGTTAGCAGCAAACTGTTCCTATGCAGAGAAGTACTCCAATCTGTTGACAATTCTTCTAGTAGTCATTTTGCCTTGGGGTCACCACTTTTGTTGAATGTGAATATGTAGCTTGTAGAGGATAAGTCTGTGATCAGTCTATCACTCTGCACCATACATTGCCTTCGTCACTCTCACATCCTGTCTGTCTTTTCTCCTTACATAGTATATTAAATGACAGTATTTGCTGTGAGGGTGCATCCCCAAAGTTGTATTGTGTTTCGTGTACACTCAAACAGTATTGGTGATGAGAAGGTCATGAGATACACAAGTCTCCAGTAGTAAGTAACCGTTGCTGTTGCTCTTTCCAACTCCATTCTTCCTAAGGACTCCTTGCTATGACTGGTAGTCTGAACCTACTCTAGCATTAAAGTCACCCAGAATTATAAGCTTGTCCTCTTTGGCACATTGATGAATAAGGGTCTCCAGATCTTCATAAACTTCTTCCTTGACCTTATCAGGGTTCGTCATGGTGGGAGCATTGGCACTGATAATGGTGTTGTGGTGTTTTCCTGCAAGTGGTAATTGCATTGTCATGAGCCTGTCATTCACTCCTTTTGATAGGCATACAAGCTTGTTGACAAGATAGTTTTGATTGCAAAACCTATACCGGTTTCATGGCACTCCCCTTCACTGCAGCCACTCCAGAAAAATGTGTATTCAACTCTAACTTCAGTAAGCTGACCTTCATTTGTCAGCCTTGTTTCACCCAGTGCTGCTATTTGGATGTGATGCCTGCTGAGTTCTCTCACAAGAGCTGTTCATCTTTCAGGTCTACTGGATTTTGTGTTGTCTGTAAGTGTGCACATATTCCATGTACTGATGGTGGGTGGAATCATCTTTGTGGAATTTTTTTGTACATTTTTTTGCGTTTCAACCACAGGATGGGATCCCCACCTGCCACAGTAATCAGTTCAGGGTTGGGTAAGCAGACACTTTTTAGGGCACCTTTTCTAGCCCCTTCCTCACACCAGTAAGTGAGCAGTGTGATCCTTAAAAGGCTGCTCAGACACCCAGGGGGCTGCCAAATTCCACTGCTGCTTCCAGTGAAAAGATGACTCCATGGCCTGAGCCACATGTGTACGGCACTGTGACCACAGCTCCCAATGGATCTGCTGCTTCGTCACTTGCCTGCTGCCTCAGGATTTTGAGATAGGTAAGATGGTAAAATGTTATGGATGATTCCTTTTGGTTTGTGTGTAAATTGGGTTTAAGTGTGGCAGAGTTGCACAGAGTTTTCGACCTCACTCTCTCTGCCAGAGTCATCACAGTCTAGTGGCAGGACAGAGTCAAGATGACTGGTGATGGCTCAAGATGCAGTGGCTGTCTTTGGCCTCTTCTGTGTCTAACCAAGCTCTAAGCACTCTGTAGTGCTTGCTCTAGCTGCCTTCGTGGCTTCTCCACCAGGAGAAGTCTTCACATGCTTGGGGTAGACACCCCCTTAACTCACTGATGAGTTTGAGACCCCATGGTTACCTTCCGCCTAGTTTAGCCCGTCTGATGAAACGGTTTACCCGGGTGTGGCCACTGTGCATGCTACCACAGCTTCTTGGAGCCACGGGTGAGTTAGGTGGACCAGGTGGATACCAAGGGTGGAAAGCAGCTCTGAAAAGGGCTCTACCGCCTTCACTCCTGAGGTGCTAGTCTTTCCTTGAACATACCCTATACCCCCGTGAAGTTTGACAGCATTACTTTAATGGAGGAATAGAAAATGTCTTACTAATATTGCCTCAGTAATAGATCTATAGATAGATATACATAAAGACATATATGTATAAATATGTATGTATTGTATGTGTATTTATATGCCATTGATTTTCTAAAATTTTGAAGTGGGTATGCACTGGAATTCAGTGTTGAATTGCATGTGAGAATGTCATATATTGTTATAATTTCTTTATATCCTAGGCAAGATACATATTTAAGTAGTTATTGATCAATCTGCTTTTCTGGATGTATAAATAGGTAACTTGATCTTACAGCAAAATGTTTGGATCATGATATTCCTTAATTATAATACTTGTTAATTGTTAAATCAGTGCCTTCAGTGACTTTAATTATAAAAATAACCCTAGTGCTGACATAATATACTTTGTCCTGTAATGACTGTCAGATGAAAATAAGCAGCCAATTAAATTTATGATATAAAGTAAAGATAATTATCTTTCTCTCTTACAGATGATGAAAATAAGATCCAACCCAGGAAAAAAATGTACACAGTAAGCCCACCTCCTGATGGATATGCTCCATGTTCTCCAGAATTCGCTGATAGCAGAAAATCAGAAAAATCTGGGAGCACTGATGACACAGAAGGTAAAGAGTTTTAAGAGTTGGTCATTGAGAACATATGCATTTTTAAAGGTTAATTAATTAATTATTTCTGTCTTACAAAATATTAAAAGTTAAACCCTTCTTTATACCACAATTATAACTACTGGCCAGTTTTCAAGAGAATATGTTTAGAATAGGTAAATCTAGCTTATTTGGAAGAGAAAAATAATTAATAAATCAATGATATTTAATTGATACCTTGGCATAGTTCCATTATCTTATAGTACTAGCTGTGAAAATTACATCTCCAAGATGTGGCTTTGGATATTCAGCTACAGGGACCCTGTTTGCAATCCTCTTCCTTTTTTTCTTTTTTTTTCTTTCGTTTAGGCAATAGGGGTTAAGTGACTTGCCCAGGGTACACAGCTAGTAAGTGTCAAGTGTTTGGTCTGAGGCTGTATTTGAACTCAGGTCCTCCTGACTGCAGGGCCAGTGCTCTATCCACTGCGCCACCTAGCTACCCCTATCTTCTTACTTTTTCAAGAAGCATAGTATTGAGAAAATCTTCTAGAAGAGTGGTTGCCAATGCCTTAAAAATTGGGAATTCTTTTGCTTGGAGTTATCCATAGAACAGGCCATAACGTCTGGGACTCCCCTCTTCAGCCAAGTTGGCATGCATGTCTGTTTCAATGTGCTTCTGCAGGTGTGCCCCGATACTCTGGCTGGCTGCACCATCTCTTGTTCTGGGAAAACCCACTCTCATCGGGATCTCTTCTCTCAGGCTTAGCAGATCTGCATGCAACTTCCATGTTCTTTACCCAAGACAACCACTTCTAGTTCCTGGAGAAATGGAAAGTGATAAAAATCTTCCTATCTCCACTAACCCATGCAGTTTTTTTTGAAAGAAAGACTCAATGGAAAAAAGGCAAAGGAAAACTTCAAAAGAGCTTGAGCTGATCTGTTAGCTCAGTCTGAAACTTTTGTAACAAAGTTTCTGTACTCTTACGCTCACACTGGAGAAAAGATCTATTTATTCCTATGCTTTTTTTTTTTTTTTTTTTTTGGTGAGGCAATTGGGGTTAAGTGACTTGCACAGAGTCACACAACTAGTAAATGTCAAGTGTCTGAGGCTGGATTTGAACTGAGGTCCTCCTGACTCCAAGGCCAGAGCTCAATCCACTGCACCACGTAGCTGCCCCCTATTCCTATGCTTTTTAATTTTTAAAATATAAATAGTTCAATTTTGTTAAAAAAAATCTTTTTCAGCATTATTGATATAAATATGTGATTTTTATTGTTTCTATTTTTGGCATGGTTTATGCTATTTATAGTTTCCCTAATATTGACCCAATTCTGCATTCCTGGTACTAGTCATATTTATCATCTTTTTAGTATGTTGCTATATAGATTCTTTGCATATGGTTCTTTTGTTTTCTTCATTTTATGTCTCCCTGCTTAGACATCAAGATCATATTAATATCATAGAAAGAATTTGGAAGAGTGCCTTCACTTATTTTTTGGAAACAGCTTATATAATATTAGATTAATTGTTTTTTGAAAATTTGGTAGAATTCACTTGTAAATTTCTCTGTTACTTCATTTCCTCACCTTTCAAAAGTTCATATATGATTTGTTCTTTTTCCTTTTATGAGATTGGGTCATTTGAATTTTCTCTTTGTTATTCTTTTAATCTGATTTTTTTTTGCATTTCATTTAGTCGTCAGTTTTGTCAGCATATCAGCAGGCAAAATAATTCCTTTATTTCATCTTAATTTATTATGAATTCTTCTTTTTCATTTTTGATGTGAGCAATTTGGTTTTTCTTTTTAAAATTTAGGTAAGTCAATAGATTTTTTATTTTTTTAACGAATTCAATGGATTTTTTTCTTTCAGTTTTGTTAATCTTGTCATTAATTTTCAAGATTTTTATTTTCATGTTTAATTAGGGTTTTTTGATTTGTTGCTTTTATAGGTTTTTTGGTGTTACATACTCAATTCATTGATTGTAGAATATTCTCAGGTCCTTCTGTTCCCTAAAAAGGTGAGACTAACTCAGTTTACATAATACTAACATAACCAATTGAGTAGCAAAAGAAGTTCAGTCCAACAAATGACTATTTTTCCCATTGAGTTTGATGATATTGAAACACTGTGTTCAAATTTCAAAGAAAATATTTGCAATAGGATTATGATTTAATGAATTAATTACTCAAGCAAGCGCTAACACTTTGTCATATATAGTTCCTTTGTATGTATCTTGGTATGTATCCTCACCAAATATTTTCAAGGGAAAGAAGTAAAAAAAAAAATTTATAGATGGTAACACTTTCATATTTTAATTTTCTCTTCCATTGGGCATCAGCTTAAGTTGTGAAGTGAGTATATGACATTATTTGACAGATCCTAACAAGGTCCATTTGCATTTATAGTGGACAACTGATAATGCAAGATATAAAAGACAGGAGATGGTATTTATATAAAAAACTATTTATTTATAACATTTATTTATTTATTTATTTATTCATCTGGAGAGGTGATGGGGTTAAGTGACTTGCCCAGGGCCACACAGCTACTGAGTATCATCTGTCTGAGGCCAGATTTGAACTCAGGTCCTCCTGACTTCAGGGCCGGTGCTCTATCCACTGCACCATCTAACTGCCTACTGTTTATAACATTTATTAAGCACCTGCTATGTGCCTTGCACTGTGCTAAATGCTGAGGATGCATAAAGAGCCAAAGATAGCCCTGCCCTCAAGGAGCTCACAATCTAATGGAGAAGACCAAAAGCAAACAATTATGTACAAACAAACTATATACAGGATAAATGGGAAATAATTAAGAGAAGAAAGGCCCTAGAATTAAGAGGGTTTGGGAAAGGTTTCAGAAGATACAATGTTAGTTGAGACTTAAAGGAATCCAGGGAAGTCAGCAGGCAGAGTTGAAGAGGAGGGAGAGCATTCCAGGAATGGGGGACAGTAGAGAAGATGCCTGGAGCCAAGAGATGGAATGTCTTACTCATGAAACAGCAAGGAGGTTAGTGTCATTGGATCAAAGAATACATGGTGAAGAGTAAGATTTAAGAACACTGGAAAAGAGGAACAGGCTAGGTTATGATGGGCTTTGAATGCCAAACAGGACATTTTTATTTGATCCTAGTGGTAATAGGGAGCCACTGGAGTTTATTGTGGCGGGGGGGGAGTGATATGGTTGGACCTGTGCTTTAGGAAAATCGCCTTAGTGGCTTTTTGGAGAATGGATTTTAGTGGGGAGAGAGTTGAGGCAGACAGAACTGCCAGCAGACTGTCGCAACATACCAATGTGAGATGAGAGGACCTGCACCAGAGTGGTGATGGTGTCAGAGAAGAGAAGAGACTGTGCAAAAGATGTTGCAAAGGTGAAATTGATAGACTTTGGCAACAGATTGGATATAGGAGTTGAAAGATAGTGAGAAGTCAAGGATATTGTCTAAGTTTCAAGGATGGCAGATTGGGATGATGACGCCCTCTACAGTAATAGGGATAATGGGGCAGCTAGGTGACGCAGTAGATAGAACACTGGCCCTGGACTTGGCAGGACCTGAGTTCAAATCTGGCCTCAGACACAAAACACTCACTAGCTGTGTGACCCCGGGCAAGTCACTGAACTCCATTGCCTAACACAAAAACAAAATAAATAAATACAGTAATAGGGATAGGAGGAAAGTCACAGGAAAGATTTTGGGGAAAAGATTATGAGTTTTATTTTGGACATGTTAGGTTAATTTGTCTATTGGATATCCAGTTCAAGATGTCTAAAAGGCAGTTGTAAATGTGAGATTGGAGATCAGCAGAGAGGTTAGGACAGGATAGGTAGATTTTGGAATCTTTATTATAGAGATGGCAATTAAATATATGGGATCCGATGAAATCACCAAGTGAAGAAGTAAGAGGCACAAAAGAGGACCCAGGATGGAAGCCTATGGGATTCCTAGAGTTAGAAAACGTGATCTGGATAAAGATCTATCGGGGGAGATTAAGGAGTTTGTCCTAGGGACTGAACATGTTTAAGAAATGAAGAGATCATGCAAAAGACCTAAAGAAAACAAAGAAGAATTGAAAGGAAATTAGTGGGTTAAAAACATTAACGTATTTTGTTTTGTACTTGGGATTCCATCTTTCTTTGGTTTTATTACAAGTCTATAGTTGGAATAATATGTTATATTCTCTTACTGTGAAAATTTTTTGAGACTAGATTGGAGAGGACTTATTGAGAGAAAATTTTTGATATGCTAAATGTTGATTTAAAATTATTGCCAAAGTGTATTTTGTTCAGTTCCATTCCTTACATATCATTGCATTTTTTTCAATTCCCTAACAGAGTGTTATATGTGATAGGAATTTAATGAATACTAATTGAATGAATTGCCATGAATGAATCACTGTTTATACTTTTTCTAAGTATTCAGGGGTTTTGTGACTGGTGAGAGACTGGGATTAGAATAATTCTTAACTGGTTTACGTTTTGAAGGTTTTGTTCTTGTACTCAATTATATCATTCATGGAGTATTGAACTAATATTGTAGATCTGAAATTGAAGGGACCAGCATTCTAGTTTACATTACATTATATTACTCAGTTTACAGATGAGGGAATTGAAGCCTATGTATGGTCAAGTGACTTGTTCAAGGTCACACAGAAAGCAGACATCGGAGGTGGAATCATTTGGTTCCTTTTAAAAAATGAACATAAGTCAATTTAACATCAGGATCGAAGATGAAGATAGTAGATTGAGATTTAGAGACCTGTTCTGTCTTTTCTATTCTCCCCCTTATCTATATATCTCTTGTATCATATATAATTTTTACTTTTCCAGGGCATATTTATGTACTTATTTTATTCTGCATTTTATAACTGGACATGAATTGAGTTATAAATCCATGAACCCCAGGGCTTGTTGTATAGGGAAACAGGTCAACAAGAAAGGAGAAAAGAATGCCCAAAAGTATGATAACAGTTTTGTATGTGTATATGGGAGAAATTTTCAACAACTAGCTGTTTTGTTTC